GGCCTGACTCAGCTCCCGAGCTCCCCGCCCCCCGGGCAGGGGGTTCAGCACCTCGGCACCTGGCAGGGAGCAGCTCTGTGAGGGGGAGGAGAGGTGGATGGGAGTAGTGGGGGCCTTTGGTTTAAGGGCTCCACAAGTGGTGGCCTGGCCGCCCCTGGTGTGGGGCTGGTTCTGGAGGGAGGGAGTTTTGAGTAAGGGGAGAAAGTGGAGCCTGAGTGGGGATTTGGTTGCAAGAGGCCCGATCCAGGCCAAGAAGAGGTCCGACAGTCTTAATTTTGGCCCTCAGTAGTGTCTGTGGGTGGAGCTGGGTGTGGAGGCATCCCCCCCCCCCCCCCCCCCCGGCAAAAAAAAAAGGGGCTTGTGCCCACCTGATGGAGCACAGAGTTCCTGGGGCCAGGGGCAGATGCAGGGAAGCTTTCCTTCTCCCTCAGCCTGAGCAGCCACTGCAATCCCAGCAGCAGATTTGCATCCACACAGCATCCTAAAGAGCCCGCATAGGATAAGCTCCACCCTTGCTATGTACCAGGCTGCCCAAACCTGTGCTCTGCCACTGAGACTACGAGATGTCTGGGAGAGATGGAGGGCTATACTGGACGCAATGCCTCAGTCCCTGTATCATCACATGCTCCCCCCTGCAAGACTTAGGCTTTATTCGTTTCCTCTAGCAAACCCATTTCACTCTCATTTCATCACTTACAACCTCATTACATCTCAGATCTCACAGGTGTGCCCCCATGCCTAGGATAAATAACACAGGCTCTTTGCAAGAGATCCCTAATGTAATATCGGGCAGGTAAGGAATGGGAGTTCACTTGAATCCCTCCAGCTCCAGGGGTCTGGGCACAACTGATGCCTAAATAGCTCTGCTCCTGCTCCAACTAGACAGGATGGCTCAGGTGGCTTAAAGTTCAGCCCACTGGATAGTCCAGAGCTGCACTATGCCTCCTTCCTGGGCTCTGGAGGCTGCCAGGTGCAACACAGCATGAATTCCTACATTGCTCCTGCCCCTGCTAACACATTCCCTGGGCCTAGTGGGAATGGGATTCCCCTGTCCCTGAAGGGGGATTCCCTCTCCGTCCTGCCACTCCAGCTTCTAGCCCCCACCTCTGCATGGAAACTTTTCTCTCCTCCCTAAAACGAGTGAAGAAATCAGAGCGGAGGTAGTGTGAAACACTCTTGGGGTATGAACCGGGAGGTTGGGGTATACAGCCTTTTCCCTGGGAGGAAAGGGGTGAAAGTTGAGAGGTACACCCCTTTCAAGGTGGAGAGCTACTCTCACAGAGAGAGCAGTGCTACTCTCCAGAGAGAGGAAAGGAATCACAGGATTCCCACTTCACCCCAAATCAACCTCCTAGTTTGTTTTTCCTCTGGGGGCCAATGGCAGACACATCACCTCTGGGCCCCACCAGACTCCTGAGCTCGCTTAGGCAAGGCTGTCTTGGGGGAAGAGAGGCTTTAGCAAGACCCTCTGCCTTTGCTGCTGTGTTCTTTTCATGGTTAGGCACAACCACCATCTGGGGACTGAGATAAATCAGTCTTCATTCATCTCTTTTATCTGCTCTGTCCGAAAACCTTCCTCTGTGCATCGCACACATAAGTAGCCTCTTTGTTGCTAAAAATGGACAAGCGTTGAGCAACCACCAGGCACCCGCTCACACGCAGGGCTTTCAGCAAACACCACCTCATTTTGCATGGCATCCATGCACCAAGCGCTGGTTGACACCCCAGGTGTATGTATATTTGCTGCTGACTCACTCTCCCTGCAAGGGGTCCAAACTGCCTCCTTCCCCTCCCTTGCAAACCCTCCCAAAGGGTGCGTATTGACCAAAGACTGAGAGCTGTGCTCTCCAGGCAGGATGGAGCTCCAGTCTCCAGTCCTTACCTCCAGCCAGAGGAGTCCAGTTGCAAATGAGCGATCAGAAGCGAGTACACGCAAGGCTGTCTGCAGCCATGCTCATGACTCAAGCCCTGTCAATTTTTGCCTGCTAGTTATCCTTGCAAGCAACCCAGGTCTCTTTAGTGAAAAGATTCCCTGTACAGGATATTCTGTGGTGATAGAAGATAAGATCTTCACAATCACAATAAAAGCCCCAAAGAAGGTTGGTTACAGCGTCATTCACCCAGGAGAGAGACAAACTCAAAACTGATGTTAAGAAAACCTCCCCTTCCACCCGCCCTGACCCCATGGGCAATGGCTGTGGTGCTTTGTGACTCAGAGCACCCAGTACCCGCCCAGACATCAGAGACAGCAGTGCCCACATCAAGTGTCATCAGCTGCTCTTATTCACGGAGGGTATCTGAGAGCTAATGCTGCCAAGACACAGGGTGCTGAGTTTTGCAGGGCACCCCCAGGGGAAGGCAGACCATCCCTCAGGCCTCTGGGGTAGGCTGCCAATTTTAACAGATCAGATGGACAGCATCTGAGAGGAAGGAAATAATCTGTCCCTGGCTTTCGGGGTACAGAAGCATAGAGAGATAAAGAACTTGCCCTTCGCGGGATAGCTGCAGTTCTACGAGACACCCACAATTTGTCTGAGTTGCACAGTCCTACCAGACTGAACATGCTTACAGACAGATATCATATTTCAGAAAGAGCTGTATTGGTAGCAGCTACTTTTGTGCTGGCACAGCTGAGTTCACACTAGGAATGACATTGTGCACTACGGTGTCTGGAT